ATTTATTTGGTTTGTGTGGAGTTTTAACACAAATACATAGTTCAGAAAGTCACTGAGGTTGCCTTCTTCTAGTTGCTTTGTTTCTTTGTTCTCTATAGCATATAATGTCTATTCTGTCAAAAGAGAATATTGCAGTTATATATAGCACTAGAGCTGAAAGGATTAGCTCTGTAGTATCCTTTACTGGCTGATCTGATATTGTATAAATGTAACAGTTGACCGTGTAACAATTGGTGTGAGAGAACAGAAGTCAAGATGTAATACTGTTAATTTAACAAAGAACAAATTTACCTTTTGAATTCAATTGTACTTTTTATCTGGAGTTCTTCAAGTAAAGACTTACTTTTAAGATTATCATATTTAACTTGTTGGAAGTCTTTCTGAGAGAAAGATAGCTGTTGAGCTAAGCATAGTCCAATAGAAGCAACTATAATTCTGTCTGTGCAAGTACGTACATTATTATTTTTTGTTTCATAATAAAGATTGTAATAATTTTTAATGAATTATTTCAAAAACACATGAAACTGTTTCTAAAACACTGGTTTAGAAAACTCAGTTATGAGATTAAGAATTATTTCCCTTTTTTTTCTGAATGAACCTGCTGTTATTAGTGGGTCTAACTATCTGACACTTGGTAGGAAATCAGTTTTTACCTGAAAATACCACATTCTCAAAGCTTTGATTTCATGCATTTTATTCTTGAAATCATAATTTATTCTATTTCATCAAATTAATCAAAACCTGTAAAATCCTTAAAGAATTTTGAACAATTTGTAGTTCTGATTCACAAATCTCTAAGTCTGGTTGAAGTCATGTGATCAAATTCAACCTGAAGTATTACTTTTGGTAGCTAAACTAGTCAAGAAATTTATCTGTTGTTTCATTGGATAGTTGCATTGTGTCCTACTTAATGTTGTGTTTGGAGGGGATACATTGTAGTTGTCACACAGAGCAATGATATTTCCATATTTTAATGACCTTTTGTGATTGGTTAACTACAGAGAAAATATGCTTTGTAAATACAATTTTATAACTTTTAGAAACATTCATTACGATCTTTAAGGAGAATAGTCCATCTTTTTCAGATAATAAAGACTTGCCAGTGGACTTTCATCCATGTGTTAATCTTTTATCTATCCCTTCTGCTAATTGTTAAAGATAACTTCAGTCAAACTTTTATTTTATTTTACTATAGTTTGGCCTTCTCAGCTTGGAAGACATGTAATAAAATTGTATGTGAAATGTGAAATAAATATTACTTCATTGTTTTCATCAAACCTGTTTATTTCTTATATTCTGCACTTGTTCTCACATTAGCATTTCACCAGCCAAATTTTCGAACCTCTTGTTATATGGGAGCAGTTTACCTATGTGCCATTATTTCTCTAAATCAGAAATATCACAAATGCATCACTTATATTCATCTACACAAAGTATTGCAAACAAGACACATTTAAAAATGATCCTATAGAACAGTAGATTTCAGTCTCTTGAATAAACCATATTTTGGACTATTTTGGGTGTATAATTTTAATTTCAGGCATATAGATTGGGAAATATTAGAGTCAAATCATGAGTGAGGCAGGTGTTCAGAAACTGGTTAGGGAACCTACTAGGAACAATGCTATTTTAGATTTATTGTTAACTTCTAATAAAGAAATGGCTGACAGGGCAAACTGGGAAACATCTAGGTACAAGTGATCATTGCTTAATTAGATTTGATATTTTGCTGTATATGGAGATATGAAATAATGAGATTTTGATTCTAAATTTCAAAAAAAGCAAATTTGAAGAGGTGAGACAAGAATTATCTGCTGTGAATTGGCAACTGAATTAGTTGGAGATACTGATCAAATGTGGAAGATTTTAAAGATTAATTCTTAAATATTCCAGATAGGCATACTTCTTATAGAAAAAAAGGTAACTGCAATAAGAAACCAAGTTGGTTCACAAGATTATCAAAGATAAAATTAAAGAAAACCATTATAAATATAAAAAGTTTAAATGTATGGTAATAATGGGAGACTTGGGGGATTATAGAGGATTGAAAGAGTTAGTCAAATGGAAATTAAGAAATCAAAAAGTATATGAAAAAAAAGATTGGCTTATAATGTAAAATATTAGTAGTAAGGATTTCATCAAATACATTAAGAGTAAGCAGATAGTTTGGATGGGAATAGGGCCTTTGAGGGATGATATAGGAAGGCTAATATCTGATGATTATGGGATTGTTGGGTTTTAAATTTTACTTTTTCTTCAATTTTTACTAATGAATATTTAAGCAATATTCTTCATCCTGAACAGTTGTGAGATGGAAACAAGATTGAACAAGATGATCACAGAAATTCTGAAAAACACTTAGAAGTTTAAAAAATGATAAAGCTCATGCACCAGATAATATTTACCCAAGGGTTTTGAAATAGATTAAGGATTGGATATGTGAACCACTTGCCACTATTTTTCTAAGTCATTGAATAGTGGGCATGTGCCAGAAGATTTGAAGTTGGCAATAATGATTTTCCTCTTTCCAAGGAATGTGCTAAAAATTGTCCCAGTAATTATAGGCCTATTAATCTTATATCAGTGGTGAGAAAAAGTTGTTGAAAGTCTGAAAAATGTTATCGCTATAGATGTGGGGTGGACACAGCACATAGCTTATTTATGTAGCTTTGTGCTTGACACTATGTGAAAGATGTTGGTGCATTGCATCAACCACATTTTGGTGAAGCTATACTTAGCAATGTTTTTAGTAAACATTACAAGTATGTTGTACACACAAAAATTTGAATTTTTACTAAAGACTTGTCTGACTCAGAATTTGAGTCTGAGTGCAAGGTGATTTTCATGTTAAGAATAAAAATAATTTTTTCTCCTACTTTATATTCCCTTTACCTAACTTCTAAAATATCCTAAATGAATATTTGATAGAAATGCTAGATGGAAGAAAGAATAGGATTGTTATAAATGGAGTTCAGTCAAACTAGATTAACATCAGGATTGGGGTACCTCAGGGCTCAGTGTTAAGACCTTTCCTTTTTTTTAATTTATATTAATGACATAGATGAAGAAATGCTCAAAAAAGTATTTCAATTTGCTAATTGTTAGATATACATGACTGTTTCAATTTAAGTATAGTGCGAGTGTTGAATTTAGTTATTTTTAGAAGCAACAGTTTATCACAGGTTTGCTTATGAAGCATACATTGTGTAGTTCAATTATTGTAAACTAGTGAATGTTGTATTATTGCATAATGATACTAGAACATTCTATGTTTCATTGAGCATTAATGCATCATTAATATCTCATAGTGTGTGGAATGTTCAAGGCTTCTGTTGGGTTATATATAAATACATATTTAAAATGTACTTCAAGTAAGTAAGTTAGTAAGACAGAGATAGTTAGATAGATCTAGACCACATGTGAGTTTAACCATAATGAGCATGTAGTGGCGATTTTTAACGTGAAATTATCACAGATTGTATTGTACTAACAGAGTAGAGAAGAATAATTTGTCTTGTTAATTGGGTTCTAAAGTAATTGAACCAGCAAGTGTGGACTTTTGACAAAAAAAGATACAATTTTTTAAACCAGCAGTTATAGTGGTGATTTTAAAGTAAAAGTATCACTGATTGTATTGTAACAACATAGTAAAGTAGAATAATTTTTCATGTCAAAGTGTATTCTAAAATAACTGAACCAGCCTTTGTGGACTTTGACAAAAAAAGAGACAATTACTTAAAGCTCTGGATACAACTGCGATACCCAACAATGTAATGAACACTTGTATATATGTTTGACTTGCATTAATATATTATTTTAAAACAACTGGAATGTGTGCTGTTTGTTTAATATTGAAATTCACTGCCAATAAGTCACAGACACCTACTGTAAAGAATCTTATCCATACATAAATACATAATAACCTGACACTGATGACATTAAAGTTTAGGGTATTTCTGGCTGAGAGAAGGATGCTACTGTTTAACAAAAGGATTTGGATTATTTGGTGAGTTGGACAAATAAATGTCAGATGGCTTTTAATTATAATAAATGTTAGGTAATGCATGTTAAATACCACAATGTGAATTATGAGTATAATTTTGATGGGAGTAGCCTTAACAGTGTTATGGTAGAAAAAGGTCCTGGTTTTCTGGTTCATCAGTCTTTTAAGCCAATCACAGAATGTACTGTGGCTACAGGAAGAGCAAATAGAATTTTTGGTTGCATCTACAGAAATACTGAATACAAGTCTAAAGAGGTTATAATGCCATTTTATAGGTAAATTGTTAAGCCACATTTTTATTACTGTGTTCAGTCTTGGGCTCTTTACTTTGAAAAGGACATTAAATTGTTGGAAATGGTTCAGAGGAGGGATACTAGGATGATAACTGGGATAGAAAGATTGTCATATGATGATAGGTTAAGATCTCTGAACTTGTTTTTTCTTGAAAAAAATGGAGTTAGAGGGGATATAATTGAGGTGTTGAAGATTGTTAAGAGAATTGATTATGTTGATGCCTCATCTTTTACTCACATTTAATAGTGAGAATGAATGGTAAGACTAGGGGACACAAACATAAATTTTGTCATATTCAGCTAAGACAGCTTTATTTTTCAAACAGGATGGTTGGTAACTTAAGAGACTTTATGGGAAAGATTGATAAATATTTGAATGATTTGTGTTTTTAGTGTTTTGTTTAATTTGGTGGATAAAACAACTTAGATACACCAAAAGGCCCCTTTTGTCCTTTAATGTTATGTTGCAACATTATTTTCAAACATAACAGAAAGTCTAGAGTAATTCAAATGTGAATAAAAAGTAATAATCACCTACCAAACATTTTTTTTAATTCATCATTTTTTTGTTTCTGGTCTGACAACTGAAGTAAAGGATCTAACATATCTGGAGTCAGAAGATATGCAAAATCTTTCTGACATTCATTCTGGGCTTCACTCCAAGTAACTGCATCTTGAACGTTTCTCATACACAAAAGTGAACCAGAAATATTCTTGTACATGTATCCTGGTCTGCATAATGGGCCATCGCTTTCTAAGTGATGAAAATTAGTGGGATAAATAACATATAAGATGACCTTACTTCTCAATATCATGGTGCTCCTGAGGATCATAAAAATGAAAAGGTTTTATTAAAATCTTTCAAATAAGGTAGAATGTCTTCAAAGCAATTTTTTCATAAAGTAGAGGAGCAATTTAATTAAAAATACATTTCATGGACTATATACTATCTTGATTAAAAGCTTTTTTAAAAAGAATTACCAACTTCATTAAGGAAAATATTGGTATCTTCATGAATATATGGTAGGATGAGATGGTGGTGGTTTGTTTTAGTGCAAAGCTACAGAATAGATACTTTTGGGAATCAAACACCATATTTTGGTGTTATAAATTTGTAAATTTACTGCTGACTCACCTGGGGATTGGCGGGATGAAGCTAATTAAACTATATCTTCAGGTTTTTAAATATCAATCATATTTTATCAGCTTTTTTCTGCTAAACACATCATAATTTAAAACACATAACAAACACACAATAAAGTATACAAAAAATAAATAAAGACAACCTTACCAAAGGTTTGGATTTCATTTGTACAAAAATATGATTTTAAATAATGGCATGTATTTCAAGTGATATACTAAGTTCATTAAATTATTTGGTAGCTTACTTTTATAACTTATTTTTACTTATTTTAAATGTAAAGTGTTACTAACATCTCATAAAGAAACTAAAAATAATGCACTCAAAGAAGTAAACTTTATCACCAACATTTCACATATTGAT